TTAATAAGAGACAACTAATCACTAAATAAAACAAAGGTTTAAAAAATATACTTATAATAATAAAGAATTTATTATAAAATTAATTAATAAATTATTAATAAAATAAAAACTAATAAATTTATTATATTGTTAATAAATATTATAAATTTTAAAAACTAATTATTTAACATTTATTACATTAAGTGATAATTATTAATATCATAATTAATACATTCAAGTGTAATTTAACTTAAGTTTTAATTTAATTTAAGTATTATAATAATAATATGAATTTTTAATATATTTTTTAGAGATACGATTAGACTGACCAACAATACAGTTACAGCCGGTATTTATACTAGGATTTTGGTGTCTAAGATTTTTAAAATTATTGAAAATTTATTAAAAAATTTCAATTTATCAATCTCATAAAGGTACTATAATCTCTAATTAAAACTAACATTTATTACAAATAAAGATTTTTAATACAAATTGTTTGTTTTTTAATTTATTTACCAAATAGTTAACTATCATCTCTAATCACTATTAATTTATTAATTAAATCTATTTTGCTATCACCACTACAACCTACAAAAACACTAATTTTATTAAAAGGTTAGAAAATGTTAAATAATAATAATAATAATAAATTAATAAAAAAAATTATTTATATTAAGAATTAGTATTGTTAAAAAATTTATAATTAAATTTAAGAAACGATATTTAAAACTGTTAAACAAAATGCTTTTAAAGTAATTATTTTTAAACAATATTTTTTTCTCTCTTTGTGTATATGTGTGTATATGTGTGTATATGTGTGTATATGTGTGTATGTGTGTGTATGTGTGTGTATATGTGTATATAAGTGTGTGTATGTGTGTGTATGTGTGTGTATGTGTGTGTATATGTGTATATAAGTGTGTATATGTGTGTATATGTGTGTATGTGTGTGTATAAGTGTGTATGTGTGTGTATATGTGTATATAAGTGTGTATATGTGTGTATATGTGTATATAAGTGTGTATATGTGTGTATATGTGTATATAAGTGTGTATATGTGTGTATATGTGTGTATATGTGTGTATATGTGTGTATATGTGTGTATATGTGTGTATATGTGTGTATATGTGTGCATATGTGTTTATTTGAGTGTATGTTTGTATGTATTAATTTATCTGATTTTTCTTTAAAAAAATGTATAAATAATCTTAAATAAATCACAATTGCTTATAGTATTTATATATATTATATATATTTAACAATTAAGTGTACCAAATTTTACCTGTGTATATCTTAATTACTTATCATAGTACATCATACAAAAAATCAATGTTATATGCAGTACTTTATAAAGTAATTAATTATTTAAAAAAAACATATTATATAATATCATTAATTTTTCTATTATAAATTTAATAGTTTATGTACAATAGATATATATTTTTAATACACTTAGATTATTATATAATTATTTCTTAATCATTAAATAACAAATATATAAAAATAGAAGAAAGCTAAATAATAAATAATAAAATTTAAGTTAATTATTTACCTATTGTATTATTATATATTTTTAAAAATATGATAACATCATAAATAATTAATAAATAATTTTAATCAATATCTATCTATTATATAATGTTTTCTATTAGTCATCATTTAAATAAAAATTATATTTCCTTAAAAATATATAACACTTTTTAAATATATATATAGTTAAAAATCATTATTATTCATTAAAAATAAGTTTAATTTTTTAATCGCTTTATAATTAAAATATTTGATAGTTTACTAATTAGTTAGTTATTGAGTATTATTTATATATAAAACTACTGGTAATTACAAACGATAATTAAATAAAATCATTTAAAAAATATATATAATTTATAATTTCTATAAAAATAATTGATACGATTAGACTGACCAACAATATAGTTTCCGCCGATATTTTGAAAAAAATGTTTGTCTAATATATTGAAATAATTTATATGAAATTTTATTAAATAATTTTAATAAATTATTATCAAAACCATTAAAGTAATAATAATCTACGTATAATATAAATATTTATTTCTAATACCATTTTTTAAACAAATTTAATATCAATAATATAATAGTAAACTAATTAAATAATTAATTATAATTATAAACAAAAACAACTTTTATAACATTAATTTTTAAAAATTATTTAGAATCAAAATTTTATTTAAATATTTACTTAATAAAATTATTGTCCAATAAAATATAGACAAATGCGTAAATGACCATGATTACGGCATAACTACTTAAAAATTATTATCATTACAAATGCTGTTTTAATTAATTTTAAAATTAATTTAAGAAACCATGAATTAAATTGAATATTTAAAATTTATTTTGAACTCAAATTTAATCTAATATAATGTTTTAATAAACCCATTGGTCTACTAACGTATAGACAATAGCTTAACTGAATATTTGATGCCAAATCGTATCGATTGTTACCCAATAAATGTTGTAGCTATTGTTTTAACAAATTATTGAATTTATGATTTAAAAATTTAATACAATTAATAAAATCTCTCTCTCTCTCTCTCTCTCTCTCTCTCTCTCTCTCTCTCAATAAATACAATTATTTAAAATAAATATTATTTATTATATATTTCTATATGATTAACACATATATGTTAAAAATATACTCTATTTACAATATATTCTATAAATATAATATTTTATTTTTTTTAAATAATTAAAAACAATTTATGTAAATTAATTTAAAATATATTTTTTTGTATCTTAAAAAATTAAAGTATATTACAAGGAAAGAATTTCAAGATAAAAATTAACTGAAAATTATTTAATTATTTTTAAATGTAAGTAAATTAAAATAAATAATTAATTATTTTTTAAAAATTTAAATTTAAAATAATTCAATAATAATAATAATACTAATAATTTTTTTAATTAATATATTACAGAATAATAATAATAATATTAGTTATGCCTCTCAATAATAATTGGTTTCGACAAAACACCTGTTGTCAAAAAGTTTCGGCGTTTTTCTCAAGTATTGGTAACTATTGTAAGGATAAATACAATTCACGAATCGATAGTATCAGCGAATGGATGGACAAACAGCACAAATCGTGGGACGAAATGTCTCGTAAAGACAAAAAAGTTTTAATCATAAAAATCATTTCATACAATGTCTGCGGTTTACTACTAATTGTTTGTTCAAGTATTTTGTTCAAACAGTTCGATAATAGCAAAACAGTTGTCAACATTAGTATCAAAAAACTTGAATTTGATTACTTACCGGCCGTCACACTCTGCCATCCATATGCCTTGCGTATGGACGGTCTGGCCGATAGGTTTCCCGAACTGCAACCAAACTATACTGAATATTTGAATCTAATTATCTCATTGAATGAAAGCGATATTTCTAACAAAACTCTGTTAGAAAATCTTGAAAATATTTACACAAATTTTGTTCAGTACTATAGAAATAAAAATTTATCACTTAATGAGCTCTATTCAGATGAACTTACCGTACCGTTTTATATATATGAAAACACACCTGAAGTATCTAATGTATTTTTGGTTAAATTAGTATCCAATGATGAGCTGTATATATATGGTGGTGATGAACCAATTACTTCAATACTAAGTGATTCATTTTTTTATAAAAAATGTTTTACATTCCTTAGTCGTCAATTTGAAGGATCATTTGCTAAAATGATTAATTATGATAAGATAACTATAAATATGTATCACAACAATACATGGTTCCCTCCTAATATGTTTAAAACAGAAGAGGGACAAATATATCTATTGCTTCATAGTCTCAATAGCATGCCTTATGATTTAAATCATAATTTCTTGCCTTTAGATATTGACTTTGATTATGAAATTGGTTATACACTTACCAAAACTGTACGCTTACCGCCTAATTACGACACAATGTGTTACAACTATGATATTATGGCGGAAGTAGCTGCGAAAACTCGTAGTCAATGTAGACATCAATGTCTTAGCAATAATTTATATTTTGAAGAAAATTGTTGCTATTATCTTAATGATTCAAAAGAGATATTTATATCATGTGCTAATAATTTACCAGATTATTTAATGATACCATCTATATATTTTAATTTATCATCAAATAGTCGTAATTATAGTGTTATGTTAGCTTATATGTGTAAATTTCGGTATGAAAAAATATGCGATTCTCAATGTCAAAGCGAATGTTCTATCGATAAGTATAATTTAGAAATAAATAAGAAAAGTAGTAAAAAAATCAAAGTAAATGGAAATTGGAATAAAAGTATTCAATTAATTATAAATCATAATACAAATGACGACACAATTGTAGAACATATACCGGAAATGTCTACAATTACTATGTTATCGAATTGGGGCGGTCTATTTGGAATGTGCCTAGAAATAGGTGTATTAACAATTTTGATTACTATAATCAAATTTATATTTAAAAATTATTTTAATTAGATTTAAATTTTTTAATATCTTATCTATGTTCAGTTTTAAAAAAATATATCATTAAAAATATAATTTTTATAAATTATAACAAAATTAGACTTTTTATTTTATAATTTTTTATTAAATAATAATATATTTGTATTTATATTATAATTTGTTAAAAATTTATAAAATAAATTTAATTTTGAAATGTAAAATATTTTATATGTATTAAAATTATTAATCAATAATAAATAACTTAATTCAATTCAATTATAGCTCATTATATTTTATAATAAATATGACAAATTATATAATAATTAATTTTTTGAATCAATCATAAATCATTGTTTTATGTTATTATACAATTCTGAGTTGATAATGTCATAATTATAATATAAACATATTTGCAGTATCACTATAGTATATTAAATAAAAGTTTACAAAATTTAATTAAAAATAAAAACCAAATGTTTTTTACTTTCAGGTATTTCTAAATAATTTTTCCAATTGCTTGAAATTTTAATTATAATTCCATTTTAAATTTAATTTCTTATTTTAAATTACTAAAAATTACAAAAATACAATGAGAGGAACTAATTTAACAATTGTTAAATTTTTTATAATAATTGTTTCAATTATTATCATACAGTCATTAGCAAACAGTCATGTTATTGTTGACGGTATGTATTTAGTATTTAATATTTAATATAATATATATTATTTAAATTTATTGAATACAAAATATAAGCTGAATGTACAAAAAATGGTCAACGCTGTGAAATATCAAATCATAACTGTTGTAGTAAATCATGTATAATTGTAAACTCTCAGCCCAAAGTATCAAAATGTAGTAAGTAATATTTATAGATAAAAATCTTAAAAATAAATTTTATTTAAAAGTTTATTAATATGCTAATTTTATAAAAACTCAATTTAGTTACTTGTATAAAATCTGGTCTATATTGTAACATAAACATAAACCAATGCTGTAGTAAAGTCTGTATTCCTAAAAATAGAAATGCATCAGGTAAAGATGGTAAATGCGAATAACGTTAAAAGTAATAAAACTAAATAAACTAAAGTTCAATGTATTTTATAAATTAAAAGTAATTATGAAAATAAAAAAAATTAATTGATATATTTATTTTTAAAATTATTATACAAATAGCTTTTACTTTTTCTCTCTGTCTCTCTCTCTCTCTGTCTCTCTGTCTCTCTCTCTGTCTCTCTCTCTGTCTCTCTCTCTCTGTCTCTCTCTCTGTCTCTCTCTCTCTGACTCTCTCTCTGCCTCTCTCTCTGCCTCTCTCTCTGCCTCTCTGTCTCTCTCTGTCTCTCTCTGTCTCTATCTCTCTCTGTCTCTCTCTCTCTCTGTCTCTCTCTCTGTCTCTCTCTCTCTGTCTCTCTCTGTCTCTCTCTCTCTCTGTCTCTCTGTCTCTCTCTGTCTCTCTCTGTCTCTCTCTGTCTCTCTCTGTCTCTCTCTGTCTCTCTCTGTCTCTCTCTGTCTCTCTCTGTCTCTCTCTGTCTCTCTCTGTCTCTCTCTGTCTCTCTCTGTCTCTCTCTGTCTCTCTCTGTCTCTCTCTCTCTGTCTCTCTCTCTGTCTCTCTCTCTCTCTGTCTCTCTGTCMCTCTCTGTCTCTCTCTGTCTCTCTCTGTCTCTCTCTATCTCTCTCTCTCTCTCTCTCTCTCTCTCTCTCTCTCTCTCTCTCTCTCTCTCTGTCTCTCTCTCTCTCTCTCTCTCTCTCTCTCTCTGTCTCTCTCTGTCTCTCTCTGTCTCTCTCTGTCTCTCTCTGTCTCTCTCTGTCTCTCTCTGTCTCTCTCTGTCTCTCTCTGTCTCTCTCTGTCTCTCTCTGTCTCTCTCTGTCTCTCTCTGTCTCTCTCTGTCTCTCTCTGTCTCTCTCTGTCTCTCTCTGTCTCTCTCTGTCTCTCTCTGTCTCTCTCTGTCTCTCTCTGTCTCTCTCTGTCTCTCTCTGTCTCTCTCTGTCTCTCTCTGTCTCTCTCTGTCTCTCTCTGTCTCTCTCTGTCTCTCTGTCTCTATACACTATATAACACTATACCCCTCCCCCCTGAAAACAAAAACCTTTATCAATCCTGATAAATATATATCTATTTTTTTCAGGACAAACCATAATAATGATAACAATGACAACCGTAATATTATGATTTATTCGGCACTGATTGTAGGCCTGTGCGTGACATCACTGTTAGCCACTGTATCGTTTTATATGATGTGTATGCGGGCATCGATAATACTATAGACGTAGACGTATAGACGTATATTTTCAACACTATTGAGAGCACCCATTCACCGGCAGGTAGGACAACTCAGGGATACAATCACTGGTCAATTGCCCGGTATGTTGGACGGTATGATCAACAAAGGTGGCAGTAATTTTAGTGTCGGTCAACCCCAACTGGTATGTCTGGCCAGAGCTATATTGCGTAACAATAGGATACTGGTGTTGGACGAGGCAACCGCTAATGTTGACCATCAAACCGAAGCTCTCATTCAGCGGACAATACGCGAAAAGTTTCGTAACTGTACTGTCATTACTATTGCTCACCGATTGAACACAATTATAGACTCGGATAAAGTGCTGGTAATAACCGGTGCTTTTAATTTTAATATTATTTTTTTTTAATATTTTTTGCTTTACTATTTGAAAAAGCATCGATAGGTTTTAGACGCCGGCAAAACATTACTATTCAGATAAATTTAACATACAATTCAATGAATTAGATTCGGAAATTGATTAATATTTTAATTTTATTTTTTAGATTATTATTAGAAAATATTTTTAAAAAATCAATAATCAGTTATATTATTTAATTTAGATTTATGTTTTTAGAAATAATGTAACTTATTTTATTTTTTTAGTTTTATTTTAGTTTATTTTTTTCTAATAAATAATTCATAAACATTTATAAAATAATAGTTTAAATTTCATGTAAAAGTAATTAATTTGGTTTTTATTTTTTAGTAGATATGCTTAATATATTTTTATTTAAATATTTTATATTTTAATGTTAATGAATAATATCACTAATCATTTAAGTTGATTGAATTTTTTATTGTATTTAAAAATATTTCAATAAAATTTATCATATTATATGATTTATTTATTTTTTAATTACTAATAAAACAAGAATTACACATTGAATTCAATATTTATAATTTAATTAAATAAATAAGTAATTAAATTTCAAAAAATATGTTCAAATTATTATTTTAATAAGATATTTATAATGTATTACATAAACTGTTTTTTTAATTAATCATTATAAGTATAATTTATTATACCTGTATATTAATAATTCATTTTTATTATTTTTTTTAATTAAATAATTTAAAAGTATAGGTATGTCAATTTTTTGTAAATAATACCAATAATTATTAAATATAATTATTAAATAAAATATTATATTTTAATTTTTTTTAAGAAAAACAAACAAAACTAATGGACACTAAACAATTGGTAACCATACCGTCCCCATGGGATGACATAAATATTATATCACGAATCACATTCAGGTAATTAATTATCTAGTTTTTTTTGTATACCCTGGTAACATTGGTAACACTAAATTTAACCTGTACATTTATATAAATTGATAATTTTTAGACGCCATCAACTAAATACTGTATATATATAATATAAATATTATTACTAGAATATAGAATATAATATTAAAATTTTAATTTAATTAATTTTTTTATAAATTATAATATTGATATTTATTTATTTTTTGTTTTGCTAAATTAGCTGGGTATGGGGCTTATTTATCCGGGCACATAAAAAGGACCTGGAGTTTACTGACCTATACCGGTGCTCCAAATCGGATGAAACCGAGTGTTTGCGCAACAAATTGGAAAAGTTAGTTTTACTTATGATGATAATAATAATAATAATAATAATAATAATAATAATTAGTTTTTTAATAATAAAAATTTACAAAAAGTAAATAAATTACGTGTAGCTAATAATTTTTTATTATAATTATTAGTATTATTAGTTAGTTAACCTAGTTAACCTTATATTGATTTATAAAAATTATTATTCAATCATAAAATTATTTAACTAATATATACCGTACAGTATACTGAATAATATAATAATAATAATAATTAAATTAAAATTATTTTCTATATAGTATATCTAATTTATATATATTTAATTATATAAATATATATATATAGAAACTGGAACAATGAGCTAGCTAATAAAAAGCAACCATCATTGGCTATTGCATTGTTTAAAACAATTGTTAACGAATATTTAGCATGCTTATTTTGGATGATAATCCAGGTAATAATAATAATAATAATAATAATTGACAATTAATATATAAATCTACACTTATACACAAAACAAAATTATATTTAATTAAAATATATATTTATATATATTAATCTAGCAACTCATAATAAGGATCAGTGTACCGATTATGTTGGGCCAAGTTGTACGCTATTTTCAGGGCGACCCCCAAATAACCCGCCAGTGGGCCGTCTGGGTTGGGGTCGGTATTGTTTTGATGTCTCTAATCGATCGGGTAGTTATCAATCATCTAGCATTTCTGTATACATTGCGTATGGGTATGCGTATGAGAGTGGCCACATCGGCGCTTATCTATCGTAAGGTATGTACTGTACAGTATGTAATACCGGTGCTGCTTTGTTGCTTTATTTAAATCGGTTATCGCCAATACAATAGTTATTATTATTAATTTTATAATATATATAAATAAATTGTTAACTTTGACTTAAATTGATTAAGATTAGTGATGATTTACACTGTAATAGAGATAGTAATAATCATTTGAAGTTATATATATACAGTATTTATACATTTATATACAATATATACATACAATATATATATTGTTAGTAACAATTTGTTACCAATAAATGGGTATTAACTTTATATTAATTATTAAGACTATTATATTTATAGATTTATAATATATAGATAAATATTATTTTTAAATTATGCATATGTATAATATGCTTAATTTATTTTGTATGCAATTATCGTATTAGTGATTAATAGTTATTATTTAATAATTATATTAATAATAATAATTTTTGTTTTTTTTTTTAAAAAAGACAATGAAATTGAGTCGTTCATCACTAGCACAGACAACTGTCGGTCAAATACTAAACATACTGTCCAATGATGTCAACCGTTTTGATGAGGTTTGACACATACAATCATTAGATACACAAAAAAAAATTGTGAGATTTTTTTGTTGTTTTTATTTTAACTACTAATAGAAAAAAAAATTAAAAAATATTTTTTTTGTTTAATTTAATTAATTATCTATAGTTTTCACAATTTTCCCATTCAATAATCATTGCACCCCTACAATCGGCAATCATCGGCTATATACTATGGAAACAATTAGGTTGGCCATGTTTGGCCAGTATGGCCGTAATCATATTGTTCATACCGTTTCAGCTAATACTGGGCTCAATGTTTCGACAGATACGGCTCAGGACTAGTGTACTAACCGATCAACGATTACTTGTAATGAATGAGATTATCTCTGGTATGCGTGTCATCAAAATGTATACCTGGGAGTTGGCGTTTGGACAGTTGGTTTCAGATATTCGCAAGTAATGATGGGAACAGTTATGTTGTCGTCTAATTTAAAAACCAATATACTATTTATATATGCATTGTCCGCAAGTATTTAGTCATACATATTGTCTCCCGATAAGCACTTAAACAGCTTATGATATCTAATAATATTATATATATATATATATCAGGGTTAAGCAAGGTTTTGGATTTTAGAGGGGGTAGGGTGGGGTGAAATTTACAAAATTCTCGAAAAATCTTGGGGGGGTCTAGGGGTGTAAATAGACTTTTATTGCATTTTTAAACAGAAATTTAAAAAAAATCAAAATCAGGGGGGGGGGTAAAATCCCAAAATTTCGATTTTAGTGGGGTATTTTGGCCTTACCCCCTTACCCCTTACTTAACTCTGATATATATATACTATATATAACATAATTATAGATCTGAAGTAAAGCGCATCCGAAACAGTAATTTACTTAAAGGTATCAACATATTAGCGTATATACTGTTACCCCGTATTATTGTCTACCCGTGTCTAGTGATGTATGTCCTGATGATGAACAACGATAACCGATTGACTGCCGACAAAGTGTTTGTCACTGTTTGCTACGTAAACATTATGCGACAACTATTAGGCAAAGGTTTGCCAACATTTATCTCATCAACCAATGAACTGGTAGTTGTTATTAGACGTCTAGAGGTATTAATTTTATCTAATTTTTTTTAATTTATTTTCATCTATCATATTATTTCATTTATGATTTATTATTATTTTTAATTTTTTTTTAATAAAAAAATTAGGAATTTTTAGCGCTCAAAGAAATCAAATATAATTTAAGTAAAAACAAGATACAGGAGCTGAAAGTTTTGTCTAATATATCTAATAATAATAATAATAATTTTGATGAAAAGGGTGTCTATATTGATAATATGACTGCCCGTTGGACTAATGTATGTATCAAATATATATAATTAAAATTTTTTGATAAATTGTTATATAATTTGAATATTTATTATTTTAAAAAATAAAGGAAATAATTAAACCGACACTAAATAATATCAGTGTTTGCGTAAAACCGGGACAATTGTTAGCTGTTATCGGATCGGTAGGCAGTGGAAAGGTATCAATAGTATTGTTAATTGATTTATATATATATATTATTATTATTTATGACAATATTTCCTAACCGTAGAGTTCATTATTGATGTCAGTCCTAAACGAGATGACTGTGGATTCGGGTTCACTGCGAGTGTCGGGTCGGGTATCGTATGCACCACAGGAGTCGTGGGCTTTCATTGCCAGTGTTCGCGATAACATATTGTTCGGTTCGGAGTATGACGAGCACCGGTACCAACAAGTAGTCAATGTGTGTGCATTGGACAGGGATTTCCAATTGTTTCCGTTCGGCGATCGGACACTTGTAGGTGAAAAGGGTGTACTGTTGAGTGGCGGCCAAAAATCACGTATCAGTTTGGCCAGGGCTATCTATCGTCAAGCAGATATCTACTTGTTGGACGACCCGTTATCGGCAGTGGACACACAAGTGGTCAAACATATATTTCAAAAGTAAATATATATATATATATAAGTAATTAAAATATTAGATTAGATACAGTACTGTATATATAATATATTAAAATATCGTATAAAATATATTATACGACATCAATAAATATAATTATAGTGTTATAAACAAAAATATATTATAGTATACCGTAATATATTTATTAAGATATTACTATTATATATATATATTAAATTAAAATTTTTTATTATATATAGATTAAAAGTAAAACATTTCTTAAAATTTTTTTATCTATTACTCTAAATATTTATTGTTTAATCTATTGATAATAATATTTATATATTTTCGTAATTTAGTTTCAATACAATACTCAATAACTATATACAGTATATATTAAAAATATTTTATTATTTTTATAATTATGATAAAAAAAATCTAAATTTAATTATTATTTACAGCTGTATTATAGACTATTTGAAAGATAAGACTCGTATATTAGTTACACATCAGATCCAGTTCCTTCAGGTTGTCGATAAGATACTGGTGCTCGACAATGGGGGTCAGTGTATAGCACTGGGCAGCAGCTATGATGAGATCAGCAAACAGTTAAACAACATTAATCTAATGTCTTATCAGCAAAACAATGAATATACTATCAATACTAATGGTGTAACCGATGGTTGTCAACAAAATATGGACCAAAAAAGTTTGTCCACAAAAGTAATGGCCAGCAATAGCCATCCGATTCAGGATATAATGCATACTAACGTGTCTAACGACTTGTCGACTAAATTGACGGACAAACCGGTTGTATTAGTTAAACCCGAAACGAAAATGATTGGTAGTATCGACTCTATGGTCTATTGGGCTTATGTTAGGGCAGGTGCCCGACCACTGTTGATGTCGACAATGATTTTGATGATTGTTTTGTCGCAATTGATATTTCAAGGCATCGACTATTGGCTATCCTATTGGTATTAATTATAGATATATATATTATTAACAGTTTTGTTTCCCATAGATATGATTTAGTTATCTATTAATAATATTTTATATTTTTAAAGGACAAGTAATAATCAAAATGATGACAACCAGAGCCGTAATATTATAATCTATTCATCACTGATTGTAGGCCTGTGCGTGACATCATTGTTGGCCACAATTAGTTTCTATATGATGTCTATGAGGTCGTCAATTAGTCTACATAATCGTATATTTACTAAACTATTGAGAGCACCGATAGACTTGTTTGAGTGTTCACCGGCAGGTAAAACACTCATATATATATATATATATATATCAGGGTTAAGCAAGGGGTGGGGTAGGGTGTCAATCCAAATGACCGCCCCCCCAAGCTAGACATTTTGGGATTTGTCCCCCTCCCCAGACTGTTTTGACCAAATAGGAAAAATTGTCGTTTAAATCCTACACCACCAACACCCAAACAAAAAGTCTACACCCCCGCCTAGACCCACCCCCTAAGATTTTTCGTGAATTTTGTAAGTTGACCCCACCCTAGACCCCCCGTCCTAAAATCCAAAACATTACTTAACCCTGATATATATAGCTATTAGTTATTATTATTACTTATTATTTTTATTATTACTTATTTTTCTTTAATATTACTTATTTTTTAATTATTTATTATTATTTTTATTATTTTTTATTATTACTTATTTTTCTTTAATATTACTTATTTTTTTATTATTTATTATTATTTTTATTATTTTTTATTATTACTTATTTTTCTTTAATATTACTTATTTTTTATTATTTATTATTATTTTTATTATTTTTTATTATTACTTATTTTTCTTTAATATTACTTATTTTTTAATTATTTATTATTATTTTTATTATTTTTTATTATTACTTATTTTTCTTTAATATTACTTATTTTTTATTATAATTAATTTTATTCATACATTTATGTTTAGGCCGTATATTAAATAGATTTTCAAAAGATATCGGTATTATTGATGAACAGTTACCGTCGGCAGCGTTTGAATTTATAATTGTAATATAAATATATGACAATAAATATTATGTAAATAATAATTTAATTATTATTATTTAAAAAAAATTAATTATCATCAGAACCTAGTGTTAACAATCGGTAATTTAGTGATCAATGCTATTGTCAATTGGTTTCTAGTATTTCCGGCAATAGTTTTAATACTAATGGTATTTATGTGTCGATATTTCTATATTAAAGCCGGTCGTGATATTAAACGTTTGGATGGCTTATGTATGTAGTTTTTAATGTAATTTTTTAAATACATTATTTAACTAATTGCTAATTAATTATCATAATTAGCCAGAAGTCCTATCTATTCGCACGTTAGCAACACATTGGCCGGACTGTCGACCATCCGATCACTGGATTCGGTAGACATGTTTGATAAGCAATTTGAGATCCACATGAACGACAACACCGCCACATACTTCCTGTTTATCTGTACGTCCCGTGCTTTCGGTGTACTAATGGACGGCATATGTATCGTCTATATAGCAGCTGTACTGGCCGTTGTAATGTCACTGTCGGACAGTCTGACCGGCGGTAATGCCGGTCTAGTGTTGTCGTCTAGTCTGACATTGATAGGTACAACACATTATTCGGTTAAATGTTGTACCGATTTTGAAGCTCATATGACTGCAGTTGAACGGGTGCTCGAATACAGCCGAATCAAACCGGAAGCCGATCTCCGGTCAGCACCCGATAGAAAACCGTCAACCGGTTGGCCACAATCAGGTTGTATTGAATTTAGAAAAATCAGTTTACAATACGCCGAGTCTCCGGTGCCGGTACTCAATGAGATAACTGTTGCGGTAAAAGGTGGCGAAAAAATCGGTATTATCGGACGTACCGGTGCCGGCAAATCATCGATAATATCGGCTCTGTTCCGATTGACTGAACCCACAAGCGGACAGATACTGATCGATGGCATAGATATCCAGTCGATTGGTTTGCATGATCTGAGACGGAAAATATCGATTATACCTCAGGAACCGATACTGTTCACGGGTTCGGTACGTAAAAACTTGGATCCATTCGATGAACACCCGGACTATAGATTGTGGTCAGCATTAGATGAGGTACAGCTTCGCGATGCAGTCAACCAATTGCCCGATATGTTGGACGGTATGGTCAGCGAAGGTGGCAGTAATTTTAGTGTCGGTCAACGCCAGTTGATATGTCTGGCCAGAGCTATATTGCGTAACAATAGGATACTGGTGTTGGACGAGGCAACCGCTAATGTTGACCATCAAACCGATGCATTGATTCAGCGGACAATACGCGATAAGTTTTGCAACTGTACTGTCATTACTATTGCTCACCGATTGAACACAATTATAGACTCGGATAAAGTGCTGGTAATAACCGGTGCTTTTAATTTAAATTTAAATTTTTAAAAAATATTTTTTAAATATTTTTTTATTTACTATTTTTAAAAACACCGGTAGGTTTTAGACGAGGGAAAAGTGATTGAATACGGAATCCCTTACATACTGTTGAAGTCCGGCAACAGTCTGTTCGCACGACTGGTCAGCCAAACGGGCAATCGTATGGCCAATCGGTTGCGACAAATGGCCAAACATTACTATTCACACAAATATGGCGAACAATTAGATGAAAGAGATTCTGAAAATTGATTAGAAATTTATATATAATTATGAGAAAAAAAATATAATTAATTACTAATTTATCTAATTTTATGTTTTCAGATTAATTAGTATTTTAATTTATATTTATTAATTAATTTACAAATATTGATTATTATTTTTTAAAATTTTATTTCAATCAATAATAGCAACTATTTTGTTTTAATACACTTAGTTAAAAAAATAAACTTAAATTTTAATATTTAAATTTTATCATGTAATATTAATTAATGACATTATTTATATTTTATTAAAAATTTAAAAAAAAATAATAGCATTGAAAACAATAACATATTTACTAGTAATTTAATATTAATATATAGATATAATATAATATAATTATTTAAAAAAAACAATTTTTTTTGAAACAAAAAATTTTTAATTTCCAAAAAAAAAGTTATACTCTTAAAATTTCAAATATCAAATAATAATAATAAGATTATGTTATATAAAGGTTAGGTTAGGTTAGGTTAGGTTAGGTTTTTTAACTTATATACAAGTTTTTAAGGGTTTTTAAATAAAATAACGTCAAGAATATCGCCATCATCGATACCTTCATCATATAAGGTCGTTCCAATTAATTTACCAGTTTTTTTTATCCGTTTTTATTTTAGGTATTCGATGATTTAGATTTTGACCCTTTAAATACAGTTCGCGTATAAATACTTTATTGTTTTTAACCAGTTTCCTAATATGTATATCCAACTCAACTTTAAATACACCTATACCTTTAGTTAATGGCACCCTATAGTCTATGAGGGCATTAGGATTATCGTTGCTAGTATAACGCTTATCCAAACGTAATTTTATGGTTGCATCTATTATTATATATATATATGATTTTTTTTATAAATAATAATAAATTTTTTTCCAATTACAATATTTTCATTTAAAACAATTAATATTCATATGATATTTCTAAATTATTGTATCGATTAATATTGTAATGTACTTATTATAGCAATATAAATATATAAGAAGGCGTTCATGTTATATATCTATTTTGATGTATATTTTTAACTAACTTGAAAACTATATAATTAAAAAATTAGATTTTGTAAATAAAAAAAGTATATTTATTATATAATTTATCTATAGATTTAACTATAAGCTCGTATATAGTACTCTAATATACATTTATTATATACAGAATCTAATTCGAGTTATTTAGTATATATATATATATATAGATCAGGATCAGGATTTATAGTTCACGTCACATAGTATATATGGTACACTTTTTGGAGACCCTGTCCCCTTTATTTGTATTATTACCCATAGCATGCGTATAGCACTCATAAGCATAGTTAGAGGACTATCTAGAAACAGTAAGTCAGCTTGGTAAGGGGACGATTCTTTGTATGACAAACTAGCTGCTACTTAATATTTGAAATGGCAATAAACAACATTGGCTCACCAGGGAATCGATCCCCGGACGTCGTACCTCTATGTTGTTTCTCAGGCAACAAGTGCAAACAGCCGACGTCTTAGTTCATTACACCATTGAGCCACGGACTACATATATATATATATATATATATATATCTGGACAGATATATTGAACGCCTCTTTATATATATAAATATAATTTTAAATAAAATAAACATACCACCACCATTGTATGGTTTTCGTGTCGGTTTAATTACTTGTTCATAATCTCCATGTTTTTTCATTTGATAATCTTTGAATCCTTGTTGTGTTTTATAAGCATTTCCATATTTAAATTCTTTAAATCCTTCCGTTTGTTTATAATTATTATTTCCCAATTGATGCGCTTTAAATGCTTGGTCATTTCTTTCATAAATAACTATATAAAAATTTTTTTAATTATTTGATTAATTAGTTTTTATTAATATATATAATTCTAAGTACTAATAAATTTATATGTAAAAAATATAAAGTAAAATTAAATTGTATTTAATAAAAATACAATTAGTTTTTTTTATCTATTGGTGAGTCAAATGAGTAAATGCCGTAAAACTCAACTAATGTTTTACTTATATACTGTATATATAATTAAATTTTTAAAATAAATATATTAAAAGTAGTAATCCTTTACTTATTTGTTTTTTTTTTTGGATACATAAAATTATATTTTTACTAATAATACTTAAAAAAAATAATTTAAAAGTTTTATTTATTAAGCTAAAAGCTAAATTTATAATACTAAAATAATCATCATCATTTTTTCAGTAGTACAATATTTAAAAAAACATTTGATTAAATTTTATTTTAAAGATATTGTATTACGAATTTTATTTTTCTAAAAAAAAACTTACAAAATGGATGCTAATATTAAATTATAATTTAACTAATCTATAAAAACTAAATATTTTATAAATTAAAAATAAAATATTATATAAAAACTACTACTACAACAACAAAAAAATAATAAATTTAAAAAATAGCTTATATAGAAATATATTAATTATAATTATAAAATAAATTATTAATTACTAGTATTATATAAAAATATATATGTATTATAAACATTATAAATAAGCTAATAGTATAGCTAATTAAAACTATATATATATTTAATATAATTATTTACCTGGAGCTTGTTGTTTTGGTTTGCCATTTAATTTATCAATTAAAGCACCTTGGCCACCTAATTAATTAAATAATAATTTGTTTTTATTTAATAAAAATTATTGATAAAAATTTTATAATCAATTAATTATTGTTAATATAATATTATATTATTTTCTAACCAAATATAAGTAAAACAAACAAAATTAAACCAAAAATTATTGTAACTTTCATTTTTTTAATTAGTTAAAAATAATAATTAATTAATTTTTAATTTATGACAAAAATATTATTATATCTAATTTATATAATATTTTTATATGTTATACTTGAAATCAATAATTTTAAATAAAAAATTAATTAATTTTTTAACTAAGTATGTTTTAAAATGATTTTTTAAAATTTCAATACTTAAATTAATAAAATAATCATTAAATAGCGTTCTATATAAAAATTCAGGGTAGACTAGTCTATTAAATGATTTGTAATAAATAAAAAAATATAATTAATTAATTTAGTGTTAAATAATATTTTGATTTTTACTTATTATTTTTTTATAATTATACAATAGTTTTTTTAAAAAATAAATTAGCAAATATATAGAATTTTATTGATAAATAAAAATTTATTTCAATAAAACTATCAATATTTTGTTTATTATAATTAGTAATAACAATAATAAAAATATTTTAATTGAGTTTAAATAAATTTTTTTGACTTTTTTAAATTAATTTTTTAACTAAGTATGTTTTAAAATGTTTTTTTTAATTTCAATATTTAAATTAATAAAATAATCATTTAAAAAAATATAATTAATTAATTATTTGTTAAATAATGTTATGTTTTTTTACTAATTATTTTTGTTATTATACAAAAAAAAATTAAAAAATAAGTCATAAAATATATAGCATTTTATTGATAAATAAAATTTTATTTCAATAATACAATCAATATTTTGTTTATTACAATTAGTAATAACAATAATAAAAACTATTTTAAATTAGTTTAAATAAATTTTTTGAATAAAAAAATACAATTATAATTTTTGAAATGAAACAATTTGTTAAATATATTTTATTAACAAAATTATATATATATTAACATAAAGTTTTACATTTTATTTCAAAGAATAATACTATTTATTTGATAAAAATTTAAAAAAAATGATTTCTGCATATAAACATACAATTGTTAATGGGTGGGGTGGTTCACATATTACGGTCGCATTTGAAGGGACGGGGGGGGGTGTTACCAAATCTAATTTTGCAAACAATTGGGAAGAGCAAGAGATAAAAAAAAATTTTTAGAACGTTGTCATTTAGATATTTTATTTTTTGTGGTGGGGGTTTAGGGGGAATAGTTGTTAAGGAAATGCTAACGTAATTTTTATTTAAAAAAATTTACTACATGCAAACAATTGCAAACATAGGAGAGGGGAGTGGGGAAAAGAGGGGTCTAAATTATTTTTTTGAAAACGGTGCAAACGTAATATATGTGAACAGCCTTTTTTTAGATTAAGGTCTTTTAAAAACAATAATGTCCAGAATGTCTCCATCTTTGATCCCTAAATCAAATAGTGTGGTATCTTTTAGATCATTGAATTTATTATTTTGATTTACTTTAATTTGACCAAACCTTTCACCATTTAAACTTATATTACGTATAAATATTTTACTATTTTTTAAATATTTTTTAAGAAAAAACTCCAAATCAAACTGAAATAGAAATGAATTTCTAGTTAATGGCGCCCTATAGTCTACGAGAACATTATTATCGTTGCTAGTATAGCGTTTATCCAAACGTAATTTTAGGGTTACATTTTTACCTAATAGATTTTATTAAAAAAAATTTATAAAAAAAATATTTTACAATTAAATTATTTTTAGTTAATTATATGATTCATATGATTATATTTATCAATTAATTTATCAATTAGTATTGTATTATATCGATTTATATATAAAGAGGCGTTCGGTATATCTATTTCGATGTATATTTTGAATTACTTTAATACTATTATTTTTCTAATAATTAGATTCTGTAAATAATAAAAAATATTAGAACGATAACAAAATAATGTATTTAAAATTTTGATAAAAACATTAATGATACATGATGAGTTATTTATAATAGTTTAATAATTTATAACTAATTAATGTTTATAGTTTATAGATAGATAATTTTAATTTTAAAGTTATTTATATATATATAAATTGATTGAATATCAATTGTTTAACTTAATTTTTAGTTAAAATATAAAATTGAAAATATTTTTTTTAATTATTAAAAAATTTAATTAAATTCGATTTTTTTGGGCGGGGGTGGGCAAGATCACTTTTCCTCGTTATTAAGCGACAATTTTTGACAATTTRKTCAAAATGTCCGGAGGGTAAATCCCAAAATCTCGATCTTAGGAAGGGTATTTTGGCATACCCCCCCTACCTTACTTAAACCTTATATAACTGGTATAYATTTTGACAGATATATTGAACGCCTCTTTACATAGACTATATATATATATATATATATATATATATATATATACAGTATATAATTTTATTTATTATTATGTAATAAAATTAATTATCAGACACATTTTTTTAAAAAAAAAAAATAAACTACTAAATAGACATACCACTACCAGTATATGGTTTTCGGGTCGCTTTAGTTACTAATTCATAGTTTGCATGTTTTTTCATTTGATAATCTTTGAATCCTTGTTGTGTTTTATAAGCATTTCCATATTTAAATTCTTTAAATCCTTGTATTTGTTTATAATTATTATTTCCCAATTGATGTGCTGTAAATGCTTGGTCATTTCTTTCATAAATAACTATTTAAAAAAAAAATTAATTAATTAATTTTTATTAATATATCTATATGTATTTAATTCTAAGTACTTATAAATTTATATGTAAAGTATAAACTAAAAATATAAAATACAATTAGTTTTTTTTTTAAATCTATTGTTGAGTCAAATGAGTAAATGCCTGTATAACTTAACCAATGTTTTACTTATACATGTATAAATAGTACAGTATATACAGTATATATATAGTTATAATAAATTTTTAAAATAAATATATTAAAAGTAGTTACCCTTGTCTTAGTTGTTTTAACTAATAATACTTTAAAAAAATTAATTTAAAAGTTTTATTTTATTAAATAAAAGCTAAATTTATAATACTAAAATAATCATCCATTAAAGTTAAAACAAACATATTTGATTAAATTTTATTTTAAAGATATTGTATTACGGATTATATTTTTCTAAAAACAAAACTTACAAAATGGATGCTAATATTAAATAATAATTTAACTAATCTATAAAAACTATTTATTTTTTATAAATTATTATATAAAAACTAAAACAACAAAAACAATAATAAATTTAAAGAATAACTAATTATAAAATATATTAATTATAATTATTATATATATTAATTAAAACTATAAAATATATTAATTATAATTATAAAATATATTATAAATTACTAGTATTATATAAATATACAAACATTATAACTAAGCTAATAGTATAGCTAATTAAAAATATATTTATTATACAATTATTTACCTGTAGTTTGTTGTAATCCTTGGCCATCTAATTAAACAAATAATTTTTTTTTATAAAAAATTATTAATATAAATTTTAATAATAAATTTATTGTTTTAATATACTATTATATATTATTTTACTAACCAAATATATGTAAAACCAACAAAATTAGACCAAAAAATATTGTAACTTTCATTTTTATTTTGTTGTTAATTAGTTAATAATAAAAAAATGAATTAATTTCTAATTTATGATAAAATATATTTTTTATATGTTATACTTGAAATCAATAATTTAAATAAAAAATTAATTAATTTTTTACTAAGTATGTTTTAAAATGATTTTTATAATTAGTTTCAATAGTTAAATTAATAAAATTCAGGACTTCCTAAGATCTACGATTTTAGGGGGGGGGGTAGATTATAGAGTGGGGTAGATTATATTAGTTATATATATTAGTAGTTATTTGCTTATTGTTTTTATTGCTATATATATCAATATATACAGATAATGCTAAATAAAAGTTTTAAATTTAATTAATTAATCGTGTACAGTCTAACTTTACGTTAAACAAGGTAAATTATAGTAAACAGTTACCTAATATTAGGGGGCAAGTTATATAGTTAAATTATCTTGACAAAAAAAACATTACATAATATTACTGAAAATTTAAACTTTTTCTAAGTGGCATATAAACTGTATATATATATATATATATATATATATATATATATATATATACAGCAGTGTTGGCAGAGACAAAATGTTTGTATAATACAAAGCGTATTATACAGTATAATACAATGTATAATACGTGACCAATTTGGCTTAATAAAAACACATTAGCGCCAACTAGTGACAAAATAATTGATATAAGCATGGTAAATCATATTTTTATAATAAATATATTAATTAATATTATTATTTTTTTTATTAAATATCACTTTTTTTTAATTTTAAGTTTGTTGAATTTTATAATTTAGAAACAACGATTATAATAATAATATTAATAATGCATTTTCTATTTTTTTAAACATAATATATATTATTTTTTTTTTAAATTGTATAATACATGCTACTACATTTTACATTTTACTTTATTATACAACAAAAAAATCAAATAAAATTCAAAAAATAATTTTACAGTATAAACAAGTTATCGCACTTTTTCTGGCGATTTAAGAACAACTACATCAATGGTATCGCCATTTTGGACACCAATTTCGCTTAACGTTAGGGGTATTGTATGTCTAGTTAACTGATTACCAGTCGATCGAATTGTAACCGTTTTCGGATAAGCCAGTGGACTATATTTTCGAACTAATTGTTCTAGATCATTAATAAAAAATTGTACCGGCGTTTTCAACAATTGTACTTGATAGTTTTTGATTAATTCTTTCTGATTATTCCAGCGCATATCCAATGCTAATTGGACATAATGATTGGCCCGCATAACTGACCAATAATCGTACATGGGTAGATTACGTTCTAATGAACTAAAATTTTGATTCATACCCCCCCCCCCCCCCCCCCCCCCCCCCCCCCCCCCCCCCCCCCCCCCCCCCCCCCCCCCCCCCCCCCCCCCCCCCCCCCCCCCCCCCCCCCCCCCCCCCCCCCCCCCCCCCCCCCCCCCCCCCCCCCCCCCCCCCCCCCCCCCCCCCCCCCCCCCCCCCCCCCCCCCCCCCCCCCCCCCCCCCCCCCCCCCCCCCCCCCCCCCCCCCCCCCCCCCCCCCCCCCCCCCCCCCCCCCCCCCCCCCCCCCCCCCCCCCCCCCCCCCCCCCCCCCCCCCCCCCCCCCCCCCCCCCCCCCCCCCCCCCCCCCCCCCCCCCCCCCCCCCCCCCCCCCATATGTTCTTTTTTAAATTTTGCCATTCCACTATTTTTGTTGGGTTTTCCATTTTTTTGTACATTGGACACTTTTTTATTTTTATTATTTTCTGTTTTGGTAAGTATTTAAGATTTTTTTTTTAAAAAAAAGAGAAATTATCATGTTTAATATTTTTAGTATTAGTTAGTTATAGTATTAGTTAGTTATAGTATTAGTTAGTTATAGTATTAGTTAGTTATAGTATTAGTTAGTTATAGTATTAGTTAGTTATAGTATTAGTTAGTTATAGTATTAGTTAGTTATAGTATTAGTTAGTTATAGTATTAGTTAGTTATAGTATTAGTTAGTTATAGTATTAGTTAGTTATACTATTAGTTAGTTATAGTATTAGTTAGTTATAGTATTAGTTAGTTATAGTATTAGTTATAGTATTAGTTATAGTATTAGTTATAGTATTAGTTATAGTATTAGTTATAGTATTAGTTATAGTATTAGTTATAGTATTAGTTATAAAATTAGTTATAGTATTAGTTATAGTATTAGTTATAGTATTAGTTATAGTATTAGTTATAGTATTAGTTATAGTATTAGTTATAGTATTAGTTATAGTATTAGTTATAGTATTAGTTATAAAATTAGTTATAGTATTAGTTATAGTATTAGTTATAGTATTAGTTATAGTATTAGTTATAGTATTAGTCCATCAAATAAATTGTATACTAAAAAAAAATTTTTAGATACTAAAAATTTTTCTATATATAAACTTCGTTTCATAATTATTGACACTAATTTAAATTGAATTTAAAAAAAACATTAAAAAAATTATTTCTAATTTCACAATTTTAAAAAACTAAAATTTTAAATAGAAAAATTCAACAACAAAAAATAAAAAATAAATAACATACTACCACCACCACCACCACCATTGTTTGGTTTTTGGTGTCCAGGTAGATTTACAATAACATGAGTACTATTATATGTATCTATTTGTAATCCATGCCCCGATTGATAAGTATATCCCAATTGATATCCTATTAATCCGATGTCATTTCTCTTATAAACAGCTTTAAAATAAATAAATAATTTAATTTAAATTATTGGATATATTTGTATTTATAAATTATATATATATATATATATATATTTAATACTAACTACTAATAAATTAGATTAAAATTAGAAACTTGGTTGTTTTTTTCCTGATACATAAAATTATTTTGTTTTTTTTTACTAATAATAACCAAAAAATAATTTTAATAGTTTTTTTTGCTATTAAATAAACGTCTTAATTTTTTAATACTATATAATAACATTATTAATTATTAATACATTGTTAATTGTTGATACAATTGTTGTTAACAATTGTTGTTAACAATTGTTTATACATTATAACTAAACTTTAAAGTTTAGCTAATTAAAAATAAATATATATTTATAATACAATTATTTACCTGGAAATTGTTGCTTTGGTTTGCCATTTCCATTACCATTTCCAAAAGCACCTTGGCCACCTAATTAAATAAATAATATTTTTGTTTTTTATACAAAATAAAACTATTGATAATAATTTTATAAAATAAATTTATTGTTTAATATATTATTAGATTATTTTCTAACCAAATATAAGTAAAACCAACAAAATTAAACCGAAAAATATTGTAACTTTCATTTTTTTGTTAATTAGTTAATAATAAAAAATTAATTAATTTATGATAAAATATTATTATATATTTAATTTAAATAATTTTTTTATGTTATATTTGAAATCAATAATTCAATTAATTAATTAATTTCTTACAATTAACTGTTATATATACTATAAATTGATTTTAACCATACATACATAGCATTTAATAATAATAAATCATAGTGTTGAATTTTTAATTAAAAATTTTAACTAAGCATATGTTTTTAAAAAAACGTGTTATATATATAAATTTTATTAAACTTTTTTTTTAAATAAATACATTAAAATTATAATCTAAACTAAAAAAAGATAACTATGAAAAATATTATACAAATTTTTTATAAATTAATTTATTTTTTTAATTATAACATTAATAATATGACACAAATCTATAAAATTATACTTAAATATTATACATTAAATTAAATTTTTATATTAATCATAAAATATGACAATTAAATAAAAGTTTTTTTCTAATCTAAATATTATAAAGTAATTTAATAATATTGAAATTAAATTTTGAAATAATAACAGGAAGCAATAGTAATTAATTTTTTAAATTTTTATGTAATTTAAATATTTATAAATATATAATATTTTTATTATTATAATAAATGATTCATTTCTATATCAAATAAATATTATTATTATTATTTTTTGATAAAAATTGTTTCTCAAATTAAATTATGGCAATAATTATATCTATAACATATATAATGATAACACACAACAATGAATATTGATTTAATACATTTTTGTTGTCAAATATAAGTTTCAATTTTCAAAAAAAATAAATTTCAGTTACATAAATAACACTGATAAAAATTTTTTAAAAAATTTACATTACAATTAATTAATAGTTTTTAATTTTTTAAATATATTTAGTTATTTATGATAGTTATTACCAGATAATTGTCAATCAAATATGATTGTGAAGATTATTATCATAATTATTATTGTTGTTTGTGTTAACAGTATTAGTAGTTTTGATGATAATAATAATGATAATAATTATTGGACAAAACAACTGTGCAATTATATGGTTAGGGATAACAGATACCAGGGTTTTAGGCCATCAAAACATGTTATCCCGGGTGGTTATGGTAAACGTTATGAACAGTTATACCAATTGAATAATATGACCGACTATTTGGATATACGTTTGAATAGTCATAGCAGTCAGATATATGTACCGAAACAGTCGTTGAAAACCTATTATCCTAAAGGTTTAGTATTGTTTGGTACTAACTATACAGTAATCGGTAGTCTACTGTCCCCTCAGGGCATTGTCGAAGATTTTTTGGCTAACTGTTCAACTTATCATAGTGTATGTATATCCTAATTAAGGGGGTTGTCCGCACATATTACGTTCGCACTTTTCAATAAATCTAGACCCCCTCCCTCCCCTATGTTTGCATGTAGTTTATTATAAAAAAATACGTTCACATGTTCCTAACAACTACCCCCTCCCCCACCCCATCACTAAAAAATAAAATATCTAAATACGAATGTTAATAACATCTCTACCCCTCCCCTCTACTCCCCCTCATTCATACAAAAATTCGCTTTTAGCCGACCCCACCCCTCCCTCAAGTGCGGACGTATTATATATGATTCACCCCATTAGCTAAATGTTCTCTCTATTTAATTAATTAATTAATTAATTTTTTTATTATCACCAGTTAAGTGACGATAAGACACATACTGAATGTCTGAATAATAATTTAGCAAAACTTGGCGAACATATACATCAAGAGTTGGAAATGGATGAAAATCTATTGGTGTTTAGTCCGACCGCCAGATATCCCAATAATTTTCTAATGTTTTTCCACATTCGGCAACATTGGGTCAGTTTTATGGAGATTACTATCAATCGGTTAAGATTTGAGTTCAATATTTTTGAAAAAGAGACGGACTGTCCGCTACTTAGCGATACTAACTCACAAATGTGTAAAACACCTAAATTTTTTGGACAACTAAGCGACGATATGTTGAAACAATTGGTCACAATTATGGACTATAGGCTTAGCGATGATGGAAATAGTGGCCATATATTATGGTTTACTATTGATGGTCGACCCATGTATTGTTTTACATACGAAAGACAGCCATTATCTGAACAGGTAATCAATTATTGATAGTTAAAGAAAAAATGCATATATTTTTTTAATTGTTTAAAATTTATGTATTATTTTTTTGTTTAATCATTACACACACACATACACATACATACACACATATATACACACACACATACACACACATACACACACATACACACACATACACACACATACACAAACATACACAAACATACACACATATATACACACACATACACACAAACACACATACACATACATACACACACATACACACACATACACACACATACACACACATACACACACACACACACACACACACACATACACACACATACACACACATACACACACATACACACACATACACACACATACACACACATACACACACATACACACACATACACACACATACACACACATACACACACATACACACACATACACACACATACACACACATACACACACATACACACACATACACACACATACACACACATACACACACATACACATACACACACACACACACACATAACAGTGTCGTTCACAGTCAACACTCATACCGTTTCTTAGCGAATGTTTTGCTAATATCTCCAAAACAGACAAACCTACCGATAATCCGACTACTGGTTCACCGATAGCTACCGATACTACTCTTACATTGTCCGACATATCAACTGAAAACATTGGATCAGCTAATCACACGACAACAGCAACAACATCAACAACAACGGCAACAAACCATATTATGACAACCGAGTATACCATTGAAGATCAACCGACCGACCATACGGTCAATATAATACTCGGACTGATTGTCATTATATGTCTGTTCATTACCGGTGCAATCATTATCGTACTGATTGTTATTCAACGTCATCGACAAACTAGACGTAAACTATCAAACAAATTGTCAGCAAACAGGAGGCCATCATTTAGGACATCATCGGCGGACACAACATCTGAATTGCAATCCATAACGACAGTCAATACAGTAAACTCGTCAAACAGTTAATGATTAGTAACGACAATAATATACAGTATATATAATTAATTAAATTAATTAATTAATTAATTAATTCAATGTTAAATACAGTTAGTTTTTTAATGTTGTTTTTCTTTAATAATAGTAATTAATTTAGTTTTATAATATTTAATAGTTTAATAAAATTAAAATTAATTATTAATTTAATTATAAACATGAAATGTTTTCTTATTTTATGATTTATATTGATATCTAATTTAGTTTAAGTATAAATATATAAAATACTATTTTTTTAAAAATAAATAAAATCAATGATGATAGCAATCGACAATTTTTTCGTAGATTTTATAATTAATTTTTTTTTAAATAAATAAATAAATAATTATTATTTGTTTTATAGATTAATAATATAAATTAGACTAGAAATTTGAATTGATGATTTTTTTTATTCATAACATTATTTGTTGTGTAATATCATTAAAATGAAAAATAATAAAATTAAATAAATATTAAAGTATATATTTTGATTAATTTTAGTAAATTTTTTATTCAGCAATTTTCAAATTTATAAATAATTTTTTTTTTTTTTTGATTATTTAACTATAAATCAATTTTTTTAATTGTATCAAATATATCTTAATTTAAACCAAAAAAAAATAAAATAAATAAAATTTAATAAATAAAATCAATTTTATGAATAAATTAAATAGAAATAATCGAAAATTAAATTAATGAAAAAAAATAACAATTTTTTTTTTAATTGATGATAATTTTTTCATCAATTGGAAATAGTGAATGACTTATTATTATGTTTAGTTTGAATTGTTAATAGACTTGAAGTTTGATTTTGTTTTTTGGTGTCGGGACAGTTGGTTTCGGTGTCGGGACAGTTGGTTTCGGTGTCGGGACAGTTGGTTTTTGTTTAGGCGTTGTTTACGGATACGTTTATTTTTCAAATATATAGACAAAACGATTAGTACGACAACAACAGCGACAACAATGACAATGATTAGGCTAATTATGACAATCAATAATATTAGACCAGTGTTTGACTGGACTACCAATGGTTCAGTAGGACTGACCGATACGGCTGTTGTTGTTGTAGTTTTGGTATCGATAGTAGTATTAGTCATAACTGTTGATCCATTACTTTCTATATCACTAACAGTAGTTGTCCTAAATGTCGGTAACTTATCCTGAAAACAATGGCTCATAAATGGTATCAATTTTGACTCTGATTTACACTATATATATATATATATATATATATATAGATATTTAAATCAAACAACAACAAAAAAATAGTTATGAAAATAATATTATCATATATAACATAATATAATTAATTAATTAATCAATCAATCAATCAATCAATCAATCAATCAATCAATCAATCAATCAATCAATCAATCAATCAATCAATCAATCAATCAATCAATCAATCAATCAATCAATCAATCAATCAATCAATCAATCAATCAATCAATCAATACATATCATACCTGATCCGACAAATAGGGAGCTATTGGTGTTATACAGTACATGGGTTTACCATAGATATTAAACCATAATACTATCAAATCGCCGTTTAAATCAAAATGATTGTATGAAATTGCCTTTAATTTTGAACCCAATATATTATTATGATGTCTAAGCGATCGGTAAGCTTCCGGTGCACAGTAATTGTGATCATTTTTTCGGGTTTCAACACTAAATAGTTCGCCAATTTTTTTCGGATTAAAATCCATACAAATATAGGTGTTTTTGAATAGTTTCCAAATACCACACTTTGAACTATTATCGCTGGTCCAAACAAATACCGGTTCATTTGGCCAGGTAGTATCATTGGGCGGCCAGTTATCTAGTGTTACTGATTTGCTGTTAACATTGGCTACATTAGGGCCAGTCATCGAGCAATTGATAGTTGTTGAGGTTTGACCAATCTGTATAATATTGTTATATATAAAAAAAAAACTAAAAGTTAATTATTGATTGATATTGAAATCTAATTTATATAATAATAATAATAATAATATCAATACCATAGCATAGACTATACAATTGTATAGTAAATATTGTTTAGTTAACCAATCGTAGCGTCGTTTAGTAAATTTGTTGATAAATTTTTTATCGGCCGTCCAATCGGTAATGTTTGTATAGGTATTGTCTTTAACGGGTATTTCTATTGTAATTGATTTAGTATTACCGGTAGTATCCGGACCTATGTTTATCCGCCACATCCACTCATTTGTATACATTAGTTGTTTGTATGAATTTGTACTATCAGTTGATAGACTCGGATAATATGTTTTGAATGGTTTGTAATTTTCAAATTGCTTCGGTATATATATATATGTAAATCATTAGTTGGTTTTATAGTTATAAGCGTTAAGTTTTTATATAAACAAATGCAATACTATTGATGTATAGGTTTTAGGGTGTTTATGGAGGGGTGTGATGTGTGTGTGTGTGTGTGTGTGTGCGTGCGGTGGGGGAGATGTTGGGAATGAACGGGAGGTGAGGGCTAATAAGTTACTTAATCTAAAACTTGTTATATATTGTGATTTTTTTTCGTGAACAGCTTTTGTGAAAACAATTAATGCAATACTATTTATGGATAGGTTTTGAGGTGGTTATGGAGGGGTGTGAAGTGTGTGTGTGTGTGTGTGTGCGGTGGGGGAGAGGTTAGGAAGGAACGGGAGGTGAGGGCTAATAAGTTACTTAATCTAAAACTTGTTATATATTGTGATTTTTTTTTGTGAACAGCTTTTGTGAAAACAATTAATGCAATACTATTTATGGATAGGTTTTGGGGGGGTTATGGAGGGTTAGGATGTGATCTGTGTGTGTGTGTGTGTGTGTGTGTGTGTGTGTGTGTGTGGGTGGGTGGGAAGGGTTGGGATGGAACGGGAGGTGAGGGCTAATAAATTATTTAATCTAAAAACTAAAAAAACAATTAATGACTTACATATAATCCTTCAGTTATTGTTTGATCAGTTGTCAAGTATTTGCAAACTTCATAATTATCATCGACAGCAACAACAACATTGTCCACAACAACAATGATGGCTATTGTGGTGATGATAATCAACAACAACTGACTGATGATTGTTAATTGATTTGACATTTTTTTTTTTGGATGATCTAAGCTATCAACTAATGTATTAGATATAGTATACAAATAACTAATTTAGTTGTAAATTAAAGTTATATATTTTTTAAAAAACCCGTTAATAAATAAATAAAATATTTTAATAAATTAATTGTTAAATATGATGAAAAAAACTAGTTTTAAATATATTTGTTTTAATAAGCACTATATCCTAAATGATATTTGTATTGTTAGAAAAATAATTTAATTATTAGTAATACAATATAATAGATTTGTTGTTAATTATAAGTTTTGTTGTAATTTTCATAAATAAATTTCAGTTACCTATAACTGATAATTAAATTTAGTTTTACAGTATAAATAATTGTATTAGTTTATTATGTGTTTTTAAATTAATTTATTTTTTGATATATTTAGTTGTTTAGATAACTTAGATATCTTTAGATAATTGTCAGACAAATATGATTGTGAATATTATTATTATTATTATTGTTAACAAATAAATTCAATTGATAGCAATCAACAATTTTTAGTAGATTTTACAATTAAATTTTATAAAAAAATAAATAAATAATTATTATTTTTTATATAGACTAATACTATAAATTAGACTAGAAATTTGATGATTTTTTTCATAATATTATTTGTTGTGTAATATCATTAAAAACAAAAAATAATATAATATATGCATTTATTTAATAATAAAAAAATTCACATTATATTTATTATTATTATTATTATTGAAAAATTAATTAATAAAAAATTAAATACATTTTTAATTACTCAAAAAATAATTTTTTTTTTAAAATTAATTTTCCGAATAATCTCGATATAAATTAACAATTAATTAAAAGCAAAAATAATGTACGCTTTTATTAATAAAAAAAAAATTCACATTAAATTTATTATTATTGAAAAACTAATTAATTAAATTAAAATTAATTTAAAATAAAATACATTTTCAAATTAATCAAAATTTTTTTTTCATTATTATTATTATTAATTTTCCGAATAATCTCGATATAAATTAACAATCAATTTATCATTAGTTTTCAAACCATATGAATCTAATGATTTATAATTAGGTCGACCCAATTCAAACAGTGGTATATGTCTATCATTTAGTATGACTTCACCGACTGTCCATTGTTCCTCATTTTTATTGTTGTCCGCTTGTAATAATTGAACGGTCAGTTTCGATTGAATCGGTATACGATTGGTTCGGGAATATCGGCCATTGATTTTGGTTTTAGTAAAATATACATAAATAACTGTGCGATGTGTTGTTTTTGTGGGAAAAAAACAATTATTTATTATAATTTTTTTTTAAAAATACCGTTAAATTGTGTTTTATCTCCCATATGGAAAAATATATCAAAATCATTGGGGGGGAATAATGCAAGTTTGAAAACCATATGCAAAAATATAGTTTTTTATTTAAAATAATAATTTCCCACCCCCTGTTTTTTTATATATTTTCATGATTTCCCACCCCTTGTATTTGGACGTCTAGTTATTTATAAACCCTATTTATAATATATATAAAAATACCGTAAATGTATACAAATATGTTATTTTGTTTGTTTGAAACACTATTATAACTAATTAAGTAATTAATTACCAATAATCTCTAAATATATTACCCCGTTTTTTTTAATAGATTATCGGTCATTACAGTTCCCTATTCTCCCCCCTTCATTTTTGCTTTCCCCCCCAACTGACTCGTTTAATTGTCTAAACCAGGGGTGCTAAAAAAATGCAAGTTTTTTTTAACCGTATGAAAATGTTATTTTTTTATTTCCCAAATTCCATATGGGAAATAAAACACGATTTTACGGTATATATTATTATTTTTTTTTAAATAATTAATTAATTAAAAATATCATACGTTTACTATTCCTTAATGTTTTTGAATGAGTAGATATATCGACGGCTGGTCTCGGTTTATCATCAAACAGATTAAGCAATAATCTATCATTATTTTTGATACCATAGAAACCTAATGTTTTCGGATTATAATAACCTAGCTCAAATATGGGTATCTGTTTGTTGCCATTATGGGTTATTTGGCCGATATATGTTGAGCTATTAGTATATAGTTTGAGAAATTGTTTGATTGTTGTCGACAGTGGATAACTACGATTGAAATCAGTCGATACGGAACCGACATCCAGACCATCTTTTGCTGTTATTTGTATGTTTATAACTATATATACAGTAGTATGTATCCGGGTATTGTGCAATATATTTATGTATGTGTATGTGTATGTGTATGTGTATGTGTATGTGTATGTGTATGTGTATGTGTATGTGTATGTGTATGTGTATGTGTATGTGTATGTGTATGTGTATGTGTATGTGTATGTGTATGTGTATGTGTATGTGTATGTGTATGTGTATGTGTATGTGTATGTGTATGTGTATGTGTATGTGTATGTGTATGTGTATGTGTATGTGTATGTGTATGTGTATGTGTATGTGTATGTGTATGTGTATGTGTATGTGTATGTGTATGTGTATGTGTATGTGTATGTGTATGTGTATGTGTATGTGTATGTGTATGTGTATGTGTATGTGTATGTGTATGTGTATGTGTATGTGTATGTGTATGTGTATGTGTATGTGTATGTGTATGTGTATGTGTATGTGTATGTGTATGTGTATGTGTATGTGTATGTGTATGTGTGTACGTATAATATATTAAGAAATAAGAAATAAATAATAATTAAATTAATTAAATATATTTTAATTTTTTTAAACATAATTTATGATTACCTTCTTGTTGTTGTTGTTGTCTATCTTGTTGTCCTTGAATTGGTTGGGGTTGGGGTAGACTTGGTTGTTGTTGTTGACCTCTATGTTGTTGTTGTTGACCTCTATGTTGTTGTTGTTGTTGACCTCTATGTTGTTGTTGTTGACCTCTATGTTGTCGTTGTTGACCTCTATGACCTTTTAGAACTCGTTCTACTGGTAAAACTGGTGTTAGTGGTAAAAATCTTGCTTGATAACATTTATGATTATCAATTAATAATATTATTAATAATATTGAAAAATTTAATAATAAAATTAATGATATTTTTGCCATTTTTTTCCTAATTAAACACAAAAAATTAATAATTGTTTTTTTTTCTATTTAAAAAATAAGTTATTAGTCTAAAATACAGCACACAACTAATATTTTATGATTTATTAGGATATTAATACTTACTACTAATTATTATTATTATTACTTAATTTAAACTAATAGTATAATTTAGATTTTTAAAAATTTTCTCTAATTATATTACAGATGTTATAGATAATTTTTTTTTTAAATTTTTTAAAAATTTATTTATGCAATTTGAAAAAAATATATATAATTAATTAAAAAATATCTACAATACCATAAAAATTACTAATTATAATTAATAATTAAGCAATAGTTATATAGAAAATTTTAAAATAAATTTTAAAATTATCATTAAATGTATTTTTCTAGTAATTTTTATATTTATATAATAATAATTTTTTATTTGTAATACTATAATAAATTATTATTATTAATTGTAATTTAAAATAGATATTAAAATCAATAACAAAATTGTTTAAATATATATTTTCTTCTAATAAATGATTGTTATTTTTTTTGTTGTTGAAAAATAAAATATATATTTATGTAAAATATTTTGGTTAAATTTATTTATAAATATTCAACAATTTTATAAATAAATATTTTTTTTTTTGATGATTTAATGATAAATCAGTTTTTTTTTAATTGTATCAAATAATTTAATTATTTTTTTTTGTTATAAAATTAGATCTTAGTTTAACGGAAAAAATTTAATAAAATTTTTTTTTAATTTTTTGGAATAAATTAAACAAAAATAACAATTTTTTTTTTGATGATAATTAGGATCAATTGGAAATAGTGGATGACTTATTATATTTAGATTGAATACTAGAAATACTTGATGTTTGACTTGATTTATGGTGTCGTCGGGACAGTTGGTTTTGTTGTTGTTGTTGTGGGCGTTGTTGTTGTTTACGGAGACGACGTTTGGTTTTCAAATATAGTTTCAAAACTATAGTCACCGAAACAATACTAATGATACTGATTATGACTAGTATGACAATCAATAATATGATACCAGTGTTGTTTGACTGGACTACCAATGGTTCAGTAGGACTAACCGATACGGTTGTTGTTGTTGTTGTAGTGTTGGCATCGGTAGTAGTAGTATTAGTCATAACTGTTGATCCATTACTTTCTATATCACTAACAGTAGTTGTCCTAAATGTCGGTAACTTATCCTGAAAACAATGGCTCATAAATGGTATCAATTTTGACTCTGATAAACACTATTAAGATATATATATATATATATCGATATTTATTTTTTTAAAAAAAACAAGAAAAAAGTTATCAAAATTAAATTATTTTTGTTAACATAAAAAAACAAACAGATGAATAAACCGACATCACAGACACATATCATACCTGATCCACAAATCTGGGAGATATTGGTGTTATACAGTACATGGGTTGGCCATCGATATTAAACCATAAGGCAATCAAACCATTTAAATCAAAATGATTGTAAGTAATTGCCTTCAATTTTCGGCCAATTAGTTCAGGTCTAACTGATCGGTAAGCCTGTGGTGCACACCTATTGTAATCATTATCGACTGTCCAAACACTAAATAGTTTGGGATCATTTATGGGATAAAATTTTATACAAATATGCAATTGTTTGAATAGTTTCCAAATCCCACCCACATCCCTATCATCGTTTGTCCAAACAAATACCGGTTCATTTGGATAGGTAGTATCATTGGGCGGCCAGTTATCTAGTGTTACTGATTTGTTGTTAACATTGGTTATATTAGGGCCAGTCATCGAGCAATTGATAGTTGTAGATGTTTGGCCAATCTGTATATTATTATTATTATTATTGTTATTCAAAAAAAAAAATAAACTAAAAGTTAATTATATTGATAATCAAATCTAATAATGTTTTTTCATATAATAATAATAATATTAATAATAATATCAATACCATAGCATAAACTATACAATTGTAAAGTTGTAAAGTTTGGTTAGTTTTACTATCGTAACGTCGTTTAGTAAATTTGTGGATAAATTTTTTATCGGCCGTCCAATCGGTAATCTTTGTATAGGTATTGTCTTTAACGGGTATTTCCATTGTAAATGAATTACTATTACCCGTATCCGGGCCTATGTTTATCCGCCACATCCACTCATTTGTATACATTAGTTGTTTGTATGAATTTGTACTATCAGTTGATAGACTCGGATAATATGTTTTGAATGGTTTGTAATTTTCCGTTTGCTTTAGGTATATATATGTAAATCATTAATTGGTTTTTAGTTATAAACGTTAAGTTTTTATATAAACAAATGCAATACTATTGATGGATAGGTTTAGGGTGGTTGTGGAGGGTTGTGATGTGTGTGTGGAGGGGATAGTTTGGGAAGGAAAGGGATGTAATGGTTAATAAATAAATAGTAATTTTCCGGTTGCTTTAGGTATATATATATGTAAATCATTAGTTGGTTTTTAGTTATAAACGTTAAGATTTTATATAAACAAATGCAATACTATTGATGGATAGGTTTAGGGTGGTTGTGGAGGGGTGTGGAGGGTTGTGATGTGTGTGTGGAGGGGGAATAGTTTGAGAAGGAAAGGGATGTAATGGCTAATAAATAAATAGTAATTTTCCGGTTGCTTTAGGTATATATATGTAAATCATTAGTTGGTTTTAGTTATAACCGTTAAGTTTTTATATAAACAAATGCAATACTATTTATTTGTATTAATTTTTTGGTGGATAGGTTTGGGGTGGTTGTGGAGGGTTAGGATGTGATGTGTTTGTAAGGGGAGGGTTAGGAAGGGACGGGAGGTTAGTGTATAGCAATACTATTTTTTATATCACTTTATTTTATTTATTTTTTTTTTTGGAGGATAGGTTTGTGGATTGGTATGGAGGGTTAGGGTGTAATGTTAGGTGGGATGGAACGGGAGGTGAGGGCTAATAAGTTATTGTTAATTTGAAAGTTGTTATATATTGTGATTTTTTTGTGAACAACTTTTTTTTTGAAAACTTTGAAAACAATTAATGTCTTACATATAATCCATCATTTGTTTTGTGATCAGTTCTCAAGTATTTGCAAACTTCATAATTATCATCGACAGCAACAACAACAACATTGTCCACAACAACAATGATGGCTATTGTGGTAATGATAATCACCAACAATTGATTGATTGATAATTGATTTGACATTTTTTTTGGAGGATATAGTATAAAAATAACTAATTTAGCTGAAAATTAAAGTTATATTTAAACAAAAACCGTTTATAAATAAAATATTTTAATAAATTAATTGTTAAATATTATGAAAATACTATAATATAATATATATATATATTAATATATATTTGTATATATATATATATTATTTATTTTAATTAGCATTACATCCAAATGTTATTGCATTGTTAGAAAAATAATTTAATTATTAGTAATACAAACTAATAATAGATTTTAAATGTTTTATTAATTAATATAATATATTATAGAAATATTATACAAAAATAAGTTAATTAAAAGGTAGTAAAAATTAGTAGTAATTTATAAAACAAAAATATGATAAAAAAAACAATTTGAATTAATTTAATCCAAGTTGAGATCAAAATTTTTAACTGAATATTGTGTAACAAAAATTATAATGTTATGAATAATTATAATAATTAATTAATTTATTTATTTATTGTTTGTTTAGATATCCAATTTTAACTACTATAGGATCTGATGGATGAATCATTTAAAATAGATTTAGATCTATTGTATGGTTGTTGTTGTTGGTGGTGGTGGTGTCGGGACAGTTGGTTTTGTTGATTACGTGCACTACGTTTGGACTTCAAATATACTATCAAAACGACAAACACGACAACAATACCAATGACAATGATTATGGCTATTATGACAATCAATAATATGATACCAGTGTTTAACTTGACTACCAATGGTTTAGTAGGACTGACCGATACGGCTGTTGTTATTGTAGTGTTGGCATCGGTACTATCAGTAACTGTTGATCCATGACTTTCTATAGTTGTCTTCAATGTCGGTAAGTTATCCTGAAAACAATGGCTCATAAATGGTATCAATTTTGACTCTGATAAACACTATGAAGATATATATATATATATATATATATATATATATATATAATTTGTTTAAAAAAACCATACAAACAAATCAATCAATCAATCAATAAACCGACATCACAGACATATAACATACCTGATCCACAAATCTGGGAGATATTGGTGTTATACAGTACATGGGTTGGCCATCGATATTAAACCATAAGCCAATCAAATGATTTAAATCAAAATGATTGTAAGTAATTGCCTTCAATTTTCGGCCAATTAGTTTAGGTCTAACTAATCGGTAAGCTTCTGGTGCACACCTATTGTAATCATTATCGACTGTCCAAACACTAAATATTTTGGGATCATTTATGGGATAAAATTTTATACAAATATGCAATTGTTTGAATAGTTTCCAAATCCCACCCACATCCCTATCATCGTTTGTCCAAACAAATACCGGTTCATTTGGATAGGTAGTATCATTGGGCGGCCAGTTATCAATTGTTAGTGATTTGCTGTTAACATTGGTTATATTAGGGCCAGTCATCGAGCAATTGATAGTTGTTGAGGTTTGGCCAATCTGTATATTAATATTATTATTGTTATTCAAAAAAAAAAAATAAACTAAAAGTTAATTATATTGATAATCAAATCTAATAATGTTTTTTCATATAATAATAATAATAATAATATCAATACCATAGCATAAACTATACAATTGTATAGTTGTAAAGTTTGGTTAGTTTTACTATCGTAGCGTCGTTTAGTAAATTTGTTGATAAATTTTTTATCGGTCGTCCAATCGGTAATCTTTGTATAGTTATTGTGTTTAACAGGTATTTCCATTGTAAATGAATTAATATTACCCGTATCCGGGCCTATGTTTATCCGCCACATCCACTCATTTGTATACATTAGTTGTTTGTATGAATTTGTACTATCAGTTGCTAGACTCGGATAATATGTTTTGAATGGTTTGTAATTTTCCGGTTGCTTTTAGGTGTATATATATATGTAAATCATTAGTTGGTTTTTAGTTATAACCGATTTAGTGTATAAACAAATTCAATACTATTTTTTTGTATCACTTTTTTTTTGGTGGATAGGTTTGGGTTGGGTGTGGATGGTTGGGAAGGAATGGGATGTAAGGGCTAATAAGTTATTTTATCTGAAACTAATAATAATATATTGTAATAAATGCAATAGCAATTGCAATACTATTTTTATCACTTTTTTTTATAGATAGGTTTGGGGTTGGGTGTGGAGGGTTAGGGTGTAATGTCAGGGGGTTTGTGGTGTGAAACGGGAGGTGAGGGCTTATAAGTTATTTAATCTGAAACTTGTTATATATTGTGATTTTTTTGTGAACAGTTTTTTTTTGAAAACTTTGAAAACAATTAATGTCTTACATATAATCCTTCAGTTATTTTGTTATCAGTTCTCAAGTATTTGCAAACTTCATAATTATCATCGACAGCAACGACAACAACAACAATGATGGCTATTGTGGTAATGATAATCAACAACAACTGACTGATTAATAATTGATTTGACATTTTTTTTTTTTTTGGAGGATATATAATAGTATACAAATAACTAATTTAGTTGTAAATTAAAGTTATATTCAAACAAAAACCGTTTATAAATAAAATATTTTAATAAATTAATTGTTAAATATCATGAAAAAACTATTTGTTTGTAATTTAATAATTAATATATATTAATATGTATTTGTATATATATATATATATATATATATAAAAATAACATTAGGATATAATGCTAATTAAAACAAATAATATATATATATATATATATATATATATATATATATATATATATATATATATATATATATATTATTTGTTTTAATTAGCATTATATCCTAATGTTATTTTTATTGTTAGAAAAATAATTTAATTATTAGTAATACAAACTAATAATAGATTTTGAATGTTTTGTTAATTAATATAATATTGTATATTATTGAAATATTACACAAATGAAAAATTAATTAAAAGTTAGTTAAATAGCATAGTAGTAATGTATAAAAAAATGTGAAAAAACAATTTGAATATTAATTTAGTCTCAGATGAGATCAAAAAAATTTTTTCTAAAAACTAATATTGTGTACAATCAATATATATAATGTTATTATAATAATAAATAATTTTTTAAATAAATTAATTTCCTATTTGTTTAGATATCTATAATTTTTTAACTACGATAGGATCTCATAGAAACAATGGATGAATCATTTAATATAGATTCAGATATGTTATCTGCTTGTTGTTGGTGTTGTTGTTTTTGTGGTGACAGTTGGTGTCCGGACAGTTGGTTTTCGTGTTTACGGACATCACTTTTGGTCTTCAAATAAAGTATCAAAGAGATAAACACGACAACAATAACAATGATAATGATTATGACTATTATGACAATCATTAATATGATACCAGTGCTAGACTCGACTGGTTCAGTAGGACTGACCGATACGGCTGTTGTTGTTGTTGTAGTGTTGGCATCGGTAGTGGTATTAGTAGTATCTGTTGATCGGGAACTTTCTGTATGACTAACCGGTTCTACCGTTGTTGTTGTTGGTGTTGTAATTGTTGTCACCAAAGTCGGTAAATCTTTGAAACATTGGCTCATAAATGATTGCAATTTTGATTCAGATGTACACTAAAAAAATATTATTATAAATAATATTATTATAGCATACAAACACATACTAACACATACACACACATACAAACACATACAAACACATACAAACACATACTAACACATACTAACACATACACACACACACATACAAACACATACAAACACATACAAACACATACACACACATACACACACATACACACACATACACACACATACATACACCCACATACACACACACATACAAACATATACAAACACATACATACACACACATACATACACACACACTATATATAATCAATACCTGTGACGACAAATGGCTACCGACTGGTGTCGTACAATACATGGGTCGACCATCGATGTTGAACCAGAGGACAGCATAATCTAAGTGATCGTAATCATAGTATGTTAGCGCCTGTAGTTTGTCGACCATATGGGAAAATGATTGCAATTTTTCATAAAACTTTGGCACACAATCGGTAGTCGATTTATAAACGGTAAACATATTATCGTCAAATGTTGTCTTAAAATCTATGCATATGTGTTCCGATTGATACTTTTGAAATATTGATGCACTAGACATATAGGTGTTTGACCAGACAAATAATTGACCGCTAGTTTCGGGCCAGTTAGCTATCGTTGCCGTATGAATGGTTTTTGTCACATTATTGGCAACTTTTGTGCATTCAATACTAGTCTTGTTGTCAGGAATCTGATATATATATATATATATATATATATATATATATATATACAGTAGTATACAGTATGTAATCAATAAATACATCATTACTTGTTTAGAGGGATGGGTGTGTTTGTGTGTATGTATGTGTGTACGGGTTTGTGAGTATGGGTTTGTGTGTGTATGTGAGTGTGTGGATTTGTGTGTGTGTGTGTGTGTGTGGATTTGTGAGTGTGTATATGTATGTATGTGTGTGTGGGTTTGTGTGTGTGTGTGTGTGTGTGTGTGTGTGTGTGTGTGTGTGTGTGTGTGTGTGAATGTGTGTGTGTGTGTGTGGTTGTGTTTGCTAAGTATAATTAAATACCTGATAATAAGCCATACAATTGAATAGTATATTATAACCACTTCGTTGATCGTAATGTCTTTTACTGAAAAACTTAACAAACGCTTTGCCATTGAAACGATCAGTTATATTAACAATGGTATTGCTATTGTCATCATCATCATTGTCGGGTATTTCCACTGAAACTGATCCACTACTACGTTGCCATTGCAAACTACATGGCCATTGCCATTCAGTTGTATACATCAATGTCTTATGATTGAAATCCATATTTTCGGTAAAATTCAAGACATCGTATGTATTAAACAGTCTATAATTTTCGGGATTACCGGTTGTTATGTATTTGCATATATCCTTAGCAAATACATTGACGGCTATATCATTGATAATAATGATAGACAATACCAGTAATTGTTTTGACATTTTTGTTTAGTTTGTTTAATTGATATACTTATATATAGTATACTTATAGTATACTCAATGAAAGTTTATTTAATAAAAATATTTTTGAATAGATATATATATATATATATATATTGCAAACAATTAATAAGTATTTATTGCATTTTGAAGAGTGAGAAAAAAACGTTTACAAAAAAATAACTATTTATAATATCTGAATGTTATAAATATTTTATTTAAATATTTATAACTAAATAAATAATTGTTTAAACTTCGTGACTATTTTTTTTAATTAATTAATTAAATATTTTTTATTTTTTAAATTAAACGAGAGTTTTAGTATTATACAATAATTTTCAACAATTAGATTATTTCAATATATAATTAACAAATAATATCAAATTTATTATTAATTTTTTTTATGGCAATTAATTTTGACATTAATTAAAATTTTATATCTAACCATATATTAAACAATTGATTTATTTATTAATAATTATAATATGTTATCATGGGAAAAAATTTACCAAGTTACATTTTTAGTTAGCAATTATTATAAATCAAATGTTAGATTAATTTGAATTTAAATTTATTTATTATAACTATAAATTTTCAAAAAATTAAATCACTTTACTACTATATTATGTGGATAATTATTTGTTGTTATAATTATAATAAATATTATTTGTATTATTAACTAATATAAAAACTTACCAGCAAAATACCTACCAGTGCTCGCCAGTCGTATGCACCGATGTTTTCGGTTCTATCGGGCCGTCGGCTAACAGTTAGACAGCGATTGAAATGCGAGTCATTTGTCACGAGTCTATCATTTGGTCCATTAATTGGTTACTATTGTCTGGATTTGTTTGGTATCGATAGGTGGCAATTGTTTCAATTGTTTTATATATGTGGTGTACATTATGTACTTATAATTGAATGGTTTTAAATAATTTTGTTTTTTTTAAATATATAAAATTACTTATTATTTGCTGTTGTTTATAGTCTATGCAATTCTTGTACATATTTTTATATCTTTTTTATATATAATAACAACAATAAAATCTATAAATATTAGACTATAAAAATTTTGATTAACTAAATAGATATCTACAGTATATTGTGTATTGTAATATTGTTAGTGAATAAATAAAATAAAAAAATTAAATAAATTGTATTTATCTTTTATTAAACTATTTTATAAATAATTACTAATAACTTATAGTAATTAAGAAAATATACTAAAAAATAAGTTATTAATTTAGATTACAATGTATAGAAAAAAATTATACAAATATTTACATCAAAAAAAATAATTAAATATTTAATAACTTTAATAAGTTATATGAAAATTTACTTAAAATTTAATAAATGAAATTATATTTATATTAATATATTAAAAATTATAACATTTATATTATAAGACAATACATGATCTCATCATTAGTTTGTTTATAATGTGTTATTTAAAACTATCAAATAATATATATATATATACCTTAAAATATAATTAAATATTTAATAATTCAAAGATATATACTGTATATGATCTCATCATTAGTTTATTATTATTATTATATATGACATTTCAAATACATTTAAATACTGTATTAAAATCTATTTCTATATTATTATAATTATAGATGGTTAATAACTATCAATAAAAAATGTCATCCGATGTCAACTATAGTCAATGTGTCAACAATTATATCCAAACTTTTGAGACCAGATGTCGACTATCGTACGTAAGCTTATGGGAGTCACTGGACAACTATCCATTGTCCGTAACGGGTCGATATTTCTACAGGCGATTGGCCAAAATAGTGGCCATTAAATGTATCCAAATTATTAGCTTAGTCCGGTCGACCAGTTTGGCGGTCAGTGGTTCGCCGGTGTTATCGGAAATATTTTGTGACCCGAGCTATTTGCTGGGCAATCGGCAACTGTTGTGGACGTTTGTAACCGTAATGAAAATGCTTATATTATCGCTAAATATATTATGGCTGTATAGCGATTGGATGGACACTAACGAAGTGGTCAGATTTTTTACCGATATACGTGACCAGAAACTACAGTTATATTTGATGGACCGATCGAAACTAAAACTTAACCGATACAATCGTTTAATGACCATTTTTATTTCAGGCCGATTCGCGTTGCCACTGTACCTGAGCTCTAGTATACCGGCCGTAATAGTGCCAATGTTGATCATTATTGTTCAGGGTAAATTCAATGTATTACTGGTCATATGGTGGAATCTGGTAACCCTAGTCGATGTATGGTATATGATAACAAACGTTGTACTAGTAGTGCCCAGTTGTTATCTGATTGTAATCTACACATACTATCTGTTCAACGATGCCCATCACATATTGATGTTCAATCTAAACCTAACCAACTATACCTATTTGTTAAATAATTTCATATATCACAGCTACCTGTCCTCGATAACCAGACGACTGAACCGTATGCTATCCGTCTATTTGTTTATTGTCTATGTGTTTGGCGTATGGTTTCAATTGATGACTATCTATATGACACACAAAAGCGATACCCAACCACTGGTGCGGTTCTGGTCGGCCACATTGGGATTGGTGTCTGCCTTATTCTTGGACGGTACGATCATACAGTGCAGCAAACTAGCTATCAGTGCTCATCAGTCGTATGCACCGATGTTTTCGGTATTATCGGGCCGTCGGCTAACACTTAGACAGCGATTGAAATGCGAATCATTTGTCACGAGTCTATCATTTGGTCCATTAATTGGTTACTATTGTCTGGATTTGTTTGGTATCGATAGGTGGCAATTGTTTCAATTGTTTTATATATGTGGTGCACATTATGTGCTTATTATTGAATGGTTTTAAATAATTTTATATTATTATTATATATTTTTTTATTTTGTTTCTTAAATAAAAAAAAGTGTCTAATTATTTGCAATATAAATTTATTCAATTATTATAGTTTTTTTTATTTAGCAATAATTTTTTTGCTTTTGAAAAAAATATATAAACATTAACTTATAAATAATTCATGAACTAAATAGTAGATATTGTGAATAGTAATTGTTAATAAATAAATAAAATAAAATTATATTCAATTTATATTATATTAGACTATTATATTTTTAAAAAAAAACTATTACTATACTAACTTGTAAGTAATTAAGCAAATATACTAAAAATAAAATAATAATTTATTTTTTTTATTTGGATTACAATGTAAAAAACAATTATACAAATATTTACATTGAAATATAATTAAATATCTAATAATTAAAAGTTATATAAATTTACTTAAAACCTAATAAAAAGAAATTATATTTATATTCTAGAAAATACTGTATATGTTTTAGTTTATTATAAATTTATATATACAGTATATATATATATATATATATATATGACATTTCAAATACATTTAAATACTGTATTTAAATCTATTTCTATATTATTATTATTATTATTATAATGTTTAATAACTATCACTAAAAATGGCATCCGATGTCAACTATAGGCAAAGTGTCAACAGTTATATAGTCTATCATTTGGTCCATTAATTGGTTACTATTGTCTGGATTTGTTTGGTATCGATAGGTGGCAATTGTTTCAATTGTTTTATATATGTGGTGCACATTATTTTCTGATAATTGAGTGGTTTTAAATAAATTTTTTAAAAAAAAAATTAATTTATTATTATTTCTTTTTAATTAATAATAATACAATATATTGTATATACTGTAAATAGTAGAAATATATTATATAAGTGCTGCACACATGTCGATAATTTTTACAATACTTTAATAACAATTATTACGATTAGTTTCAGATAATTATATTTATGCTATAAAATGTATATAATTATAATCAATGATTAAAAAAAATGCTTTAATTTATAATTAATAAAACAATTTATTTTATATAGTATTTGAATGTTTTAAATGAAAAACAAAAACTAATTATGATATCATATATTTTCTTTAATGTTATAATTTTTAATATATAAATATAATTTAATTCAATTAAATTTTTAATTAATTTTCATATAACTTAATAAAGTTATTAAATATTTAATTATATTTAATGTAAATATTTTTATATAATTGTATTTTTATATTGTAATCTAAATTAATAACAATCTTATAAAAAAAATTATTTTTAGTATATTTGCTTAATTACTATATTAACTTATAAGATAGTAGTAATTATTTATTAAATAGTTTAATAAATGATAAATACAATTTATTTTAGTTTATTTTTAGTTTATTTATTCACTAACAATATTACAATACACAATATACTGTAGATATATATATTTAGTTAATCAATATTTTAAGTCTAATATTTATAGATATTTTTTTTGTTATTATTATAAAAACATCTTAAATACTAATCTTAAAACACTATAAATAGCAAATAATTAAATATATTTTATATATATTTTTTTCAAAAAATATGTTAAAACCATTCAATTATCAGAAAATAATGTGCACCACATATATAAAACAATTGAAACAATTGCCACCTATCGATACCAAACAAATCCAGACAATAGTAACCAATTAATGGACCAAATGATAGACTCGAGACAAATGACTCGCATCTTAATCGCTGTCTAAGTGTTAGCCGACGGCCCGATAGCACCGAAAACATGGGTGCATACGACTGATGAGCACTGATAGGTATTTTGCTACACAATATTATGGTTCCGTGAAAAAACAGAAAAGACAACATTCCCAGTGTGGCCGTCCAGATCCTAACGAGTGGTTGGGTATTGCTTTTGTGTGTCATATAGATAGTCATCAATTGAAACCATACGCCAAACACATAGATTATAAACAAATAGACGGATAGCATACGGTTCAGGCGTCTGGTCATTGAGGACAGATAGTTGTGATATATGAAATTGTTCAACAAATAGGTATAGTTGGTTAGGTTTAGATTGAACAGCAGTATCTGATGGGCATCGTTGAACAGGTAGTACGAATACAGTATAATCAGATAGCAACTGTTGATTA